TTTAAATCGACGTTTAGATAATATTGACGACGTATCGACAATTAACAATTGTAATTTCAATTCTTATATGGATAAAATATATCTCGATGAGCTTGAAATAAAAAGATACCACAAAGTCGGACATATCTGTTTCATATATGAATATTTTACTTGAAAAAGACGTTAATGGTTATCTAACAACACCGTTTTATGATAAACGCGAGGACAAAGTTTTCAATCGTCAACTTCCCTTACTTATTCAGCAGTACATCTATACCTTCATATCTGCATACGGAGTTATATCTCCCGGTTGGTTCGATATATAAGAGCGTATGAACATTGTTTTTTTTCTAAAACGAGGTAAATTATTGACAAACAGGTTGATGAAGCAAGAATATCAGCAGTCCCGGTAAAAGTCATAATTTTGTCAGTTATGTGGTCAATACAAGGACCTTGACGGCAAACACAATTGATCATTGAGTAAAATGCTGACTTACTTTCTAAATGCTGATTGTTAGGCCGTTACTAAAAGACTGAGTTGTCCACGGATTTTTGAGCATTTTACAAGGAGCACACGACGAGTGACGCTCATTTCTTTACGACACCTTATCCAGATCTGATGTTTTGGAGATCCATGTTTGTTTTGCGCCTATTTGTAATATTTGATGGACTTTTGAGCTCAATTATCCGTTCGTTATCTCTATATATTTCATTGATGGAAAGCTACTGTTTTATTTATACAGGCTACATTCTTAGTTGTGGATACTGATTAATGATCATCATAAGAGATAAAGGATATATATTTTTTAATTGGAAGTAAACGTTATTATTAGCCCCCCTCGGGTAACTGGATTTTTTTAAGCGATTATAAAATTAATTTATTTATATATCATCAATATGAATAAACATGGCTCTTCTGTTCTTGAGAAGATTACTAAAGATATAATTACCTATTTATACAAATGTAAAATTCAATCTCCCATTGTGGCCCCTATCTAGCACCGTTGGTCTGTTTATTTGAGCAAATTTAAATCAGCACTGTGTTAAGAACTTTTGCTATAAGTTTGGTATTTTTTTGCGAAGTGGTTCTTGAGAAATCGAAGACTTAAAAAAAAATGCCATAAAGAACTTTATTCGGTAATAACCAATATTTGCCCCCCAAATCAAACTTTGATGGAGTTATATTTAATTAAGTTCTTAAACAGGGGAGTATATGGTGACTTCAAAGCACTGAATATTTTCATAAGTAATGACGCCATATGTACGTAATGACGTCACAAACATGACGTAAATTTCATTTTTTTATGAATTTTACAGAAAAATGTACATATTTCGTCGATATTTTGAGTAAAAGTCACCGAGCGCATGTGTGTTCAGGATCAATATTTTGATATAATGTGTAGAATGATAATATCAATGAAATATGTCAATATTGTTCCTGAACAAAGTTGCGCTCTATAAATTTTAAAGCTAAAATTGTTGAAATTTTGTCCATTTTGTCCTCTTTCTGAGAAAGGATATATAAATTGGACTAGTTTGTGACGTCATAAAAACAAAAATTGTGAATACACTGCTTTGAAACTTTAATATTTTCTGTTAATTTATATTTCTTATACAATTTATTGAATTCAGCACATTTCAGGAAGTTTTCAAAATTTGACTTTTGTGGGGGCAATTATATGCAATATACCGCATATAGTTCTTTTTCACTGATTCATAATAATCTCTCCCTTGGAAGAACGTGTAGAAAACTCGAATCTCCTCCAACAAAAGATCCTTCGTGGCAAATTTCGATAGTTTTTTCTCCTTTCTTTTGAAAGTGAGCTAATAGTTCAGGTTTTTAAATCATCAATAACATCACCTCCTTCCCGAAAGGATATGCAACTATATAATTATTATAAAAAAAACTTGTAGATAAAAATAAATTTTAGTACTAGTCAAGTACAAGACATACATGTAAAATTTAAATAAAAGACATGATAAAAATTAAAGTACTTGTCCTCATTTCATAACAAAATATGCAAGCCCTATACATGTTATATTTCAAAAGTATAACTTTCACATGTACATGTATTTGGAATATGAGGCTGAAAAACATGTAAAGTTGCTGATCACTTTGTATTTCTCCTTAACCTCGCAATATACACGTATCCTTTTATGCGTCTGTCTCAGGAGAAACAGGTAATATTGTGACATCATATAGATTTTAACACAGCCGTGTTTCTTTATCATGCAAGTGGTTGTACATGTACACACCCTCAGAGGAGGTTTGGTCTCTAAACGTGGACAGCGGTTCACTGACATCATACAAGTTTTCCGTTTCTGCTCCTCTGCGTGGTGAGTTGTGTCGTAAAGTGTATCTCCAGTATAACTGCAATCATTGTGACTTAGAGGGATTTGACTTTCCTGAAAGCATAAAATGCGTCAAACAAATCTGAATGTTTTCAATGAAGCAGATATGGAAATAAATTGATAAATTGAAATTTATTTTGTTTCGAGCTTACCATTGTATCTCTGATGTTGCCATGAAAAGCATAGGTGTAGTATTATGGTCCTCTGGTACATATCAGCTGTATAAACAACCAGTCTACATCAAGAAATCATGGAAAATATGTTAACAACTTATATTTCAGGATTTGTTTAGAAATTGATTAATACACAAAGATGAAAATACCTTCCACTCCGCGCTTTCAATTTTTTTCTACACACTATGAGGCAAGTTATGATTGATACCGTTATCACAAGGAGGAGGACACCAACACCAACCAATAGAAACAGGTGTTTCTAACCTTAAAGTGTTTAGAATAATCACTTTCAGGTCAAAAGATTGCGATAGAAATAATATTTCTACTTATATAAATGCACAATATATAAAAAATAATATCACAATGCAGAAATATTAAGAATAAGTTATAGACTTTATATAATTTTGGAAGAGTATCAGTATATGATATAATTTTCAATACTCCAGATGTTTTACCTTAGGTATATATACTGTATATTTGTCTTAACCTCTTTTCTCTATAAATTACTAGCATTGATTTTCTGTCAGTTCTCAAAGCTTGCTTTTAACCAGCCAACCATTAAAAAAAATCATGTAACATGGTTGTAACAATACTGTAAATATTGCTCCAAATGCTCTTCCATACAAATTGGAGTCTTTAAAGCTGAACACTTCTCATAAATAGGCACTGTCAGACGGGTATATAAACCGTCCGATTTCTTACACCCGATTGCACACTCGAAACTCGTGGCCGACATGTAGTACTCCTTTCGTGGTCGTAGATTTTTTGCCTTTATTTATTGTTTTTATGTGCATTTTCTGTTTGTAAATGATGTATTGACCTGTATTTTTCATGATAATTTGTCCTGTTTTGGACACAATACGTAAAATTTGATAATTTCATCGAGATTGAGTAGCACGCAATGTGTAAGATATACGTCTACATTCGTCGGATCTCTACAGTGAAATATATTGAACTGATTAGCAATCTGCTCCTTATATACAGGTTGAGGGGAGAGCGTTGAAGAACGGGAAATATGGCGGACTATGCCTATTTACGAGCAGTGTTCAGCTTTAACTTGCATGCATCGATAGTCACCGAATTATAGTATGCAGAGCTGCAGCCTCGCTTTTTAAACCTTTTTGTCAAGTTTGATGGTATTAATAGTTACACTTATCCAGAGATTTTGTCCAGGTGTGACAAATAAGTTCTGAACACCAAACTGTTTGGACGGTTTGAGATAATGACCCATACTTAGTGAATTGGGCGGCTCCTATGCTGTGTGGAAATAAGATGCATTTCTGGTACCTGTGTGGACTATTTGAAACCTGCGTGGACTATTTGAAACCTCTGTGGACTATTTGAAACCTCTGTGGACTATTTGAAACCTGTGGACTATTTGAAACCTCTGTGGACTATTTGAAACCTCTGTGGACCGTTTGAAACCTGTGTGGACCGTTTGAAACCTGTGTGAACCGTTTGAAACCTGAACCTTTTGTTTTGGCATTTGTCAGCTGTTTGTAAGAGTGTTATTTTCCTGATTTTCTTAGACATGTAAAACGAAAGTATTGGTTTTTTTCGTGTGCATTCTTTTTATACGAAAGTTAAATTACCTGGTTTATAGATTTAAATACTTAAATACAAGAGTAGCTACGGAAGATCATATCTGTACTATACAGTTTTTGTCACATGTATACACAGGCAACGTAGGCACACATGATCCACATATGAGCATCATATGATTTTCATATGATTGGTTTCATATGAGAATCATAAAAAAGGGCATCATATGTTAATCATATAAAGCTAATCATATGATTTACATATGATCGATATATGTGATTCATATGAAAAATAACTTCATATGATTTGCATATGAATGGTTTATGTTTGTGTCAAGCCATTTACAGTGTACATATATGAATCATATGAAAATGGTATCATATGTAAATCATATGAAACAGTTATGTGTGTTCTCTTTCGATATTTTTCACATCCTTGTACACATTTAAAAATCAGATATTTCTGCTTTAGATGAAAATTCATTACATTACAATGATCTATCTTCATTGGTTAAATATTTTATGCTTACACAACTTTTTTGATTAAATTATTTTCATTAAGAGAAATAACTTATTTTTCACAGAGTACATTCTAAACAAGAAAATATACAAACAAGTCAGTAGCATTTGTCGATACATGTATTTAACATTTCTAAAATGAGTACAAATTATAAGATTTCAGCAAAATGATTAAGTAGTTAAACATGTATACATGTACAAATGAATAACATGATTAGGTCATGTACATATATAAAAATACCATATGACATGAAAGTGTCCATAGCAAAATTGAAACATCAGCAATAACATTTGTCAGGTATTCTCTATTTATGAAAAATCAAGTTATTTGATATTCCAGGATACAAATAAGAATGGAAAATCTTTACAGGTCAAATTCAGACAAGATTGTGTACATCCTCCCTAATTAATAATTATTCCATATATTTCCTTCTTCTTTTTCCTTCAGTATCTTTCAATATTTTCAGTTGTCCTCCCTCTGATCTCACCATTTTGAAAATCTCTTTGAACTTTACCAAAAATGCAAATCCACCAGTTCTCCCCTTCCTGAACAATTTGTTGGTGGCACAGAATGGTCTCTACAAAAATTTCAAAAATAAAAATAAAATGATTTTTAAATTACAAAATCAATTCTACAAGCTATATTAAAGTAACTTATCATCAGCAAACAAATGTATTCCCAATTCAACGACACAGATATGATAGGAGATAAAACTAATGTTATATATGTTATACTAGGTGTTTTATGGAATGCTATGATGTAATTTGCAAGATAATTACACTGTTGGAAGATATGCTTCATAATAAAATTATAAAAAGCATTTTTTTTATTTTGACACTTGAATTGAATTTTGCAAGACAATTACACTATTGGAAGATATGCTTCATATCAAAATCATAAAAAGCAAATTTTTTTTATTCTGACAATTGAATTTGGAATGATTAAATAGTATATATTAATTCAAATTGCCAAAAATTAAGAAGATTCTGACATAAATAGGCAGAAAAACACACTTTGTGATTCCAGGATATCCCAGACTTTGTTGGGAAGAATATAACAAAGTCTATTAAACAGTGTGTAGTTACCTTAACTTTGAAGCAAGCCTTGGATCTTTGGATTTTTTCTTATGAGAGGCTGACTGTATATTGAACCTGTAAAACAAATATTCACACAGTAGATATTTTCTAAGCATAACTAAAACTTAAACTACAAAAAGAGAGAGTACAAGTTTGTAGGTTCTCAGTTGTCTTAAATATCTTACAATTTACCTGAAACTAGGTTCTCTAGTGTTGGAAAATAATTTCTAAATGTCAGTCAATAAATATTCAATGGATTAGCTATCAAATGTTCTTTCAACACATAGTCACATGCACATGTATTTGTACCTTGAAAGTTGCCACTGTTTTTATTAATTTCATGCTGAAATTCAAAAATTCAATTTACCCCCTGAAGTTATTGTATAGTTTCATAGCTTTCAAAGCCAAAAATTTTATTCATACTCTCCATAGTTTAAATTGCATTGGATTAAAATTGTTTCATAATGTACTAAATGTAGAATAATACTGCTATATTATTGAGTTGAATTTATTTTTGATGAAGCCGTGCAAACAATGTAGAATTGTAAAGGAACAAAAAGAACTTATCAAGAAATATTTAGTCATAAAGGAGTCATTATAGATATTCACTTTGATTTTTTATTGTAATATTTTTACCTTTAATATTGTGATGATGCAATCGTCTGTCAGAATCAGCTTTAGGATCAATCGCCAGTCTTATCAGCTTTGGGCTTCAAAAGCAGCACTGTGACACTGAACTGAAGTTGTTGAATGCATCTATAGGCCATAAAAGCAAACATTTGTCATTAAGTTAATGAAAGAATCGACTTGATAACGATCTCAACATAGAAAACGCCAACTGCTATACAGGGTTTCTATTGAGAAACTTTCACTTTCAAATCAGTACGTACTTAACAACAAAAGTCAAAACAAAAAGAAAACAAAGTAATGCCTTTAGCCTAACATGTAAATTGTCATGTTTACATTCATTCAGAAACAAATTTATCCAAGATTACTTAGAGATCACTAACATTAGGGCCTACGTAGGTTTGCGAAATGCCTTAATTTAACAATTACAAGTGATGAGAGTATTATAGAAATAAGTTCATACGAACCTGTAACCGTAATGAAAGGATATTTAAACTATATGAATTAAAGGTCTTTAAAAAAAAATTGTTAGGAGATTACTTATTTTTTCCAACATCCAACACTTCTGCTGCAGCAGTGACGTCAAACATGACGTACACTTTCATCCGATAAAAGTCAAAACCGGTCCGGAAAAAAAATACGGAATTATTTTGATTTTACTCAAATACTAAACCAAACGCAAAAGACTTGAAATAAAATTCAAATTAATTTATCATTTATCAATTTTATCTGGGAAATGCATTATTACAAAAAAAAATTGTGAAAGGTTTTTTTTAATAAGGGAAGGGGGGTGTTAAACAGAGTAGAACTTTACATAAGACAACAAATTCTTTTGAATTAATGTACATTTAAATTACTATTGATATATATTATTGAAATTGCAATTTTACTTGCATATACCAAGGGCAAAAATAAGTGAACACTGTTTCATATAATTCACATATGATCACTGTTTCATAGGATTCTCATCTGATCACTGTCAAAATATTCATATGATTTTTACATGAGTATTACAAGGGCAAATTAGTGAATACGGTTTCATATGATTCTCATATGATCAGTTTCATATGATTCTTAAATGACAACTGTCAAAGTATACATGATTCTCATATGCAGGGCCTTTCATATGAGAATCATATGTATATACAATCATATGATATACATATGTGTAATCATATGATTTTCATATGATTCTCATGTGATTGTATATACATATGATTCTTATATGATCCACATATGATCTTCATATGAAAGGCAATGCATCTGTGGATCATATGTGGCTAAATTGCCTATGTATGTTAGACGCTTTAGTAAGAATTTATGATGTTAGATAGATTAGTTTATTATATGTTGTCCAATATTTTAATGAGGTGACATTTTTATTGATGTTCACAGTCTACCCTAATCCAAATACTACGTTACCTGGGAACTTCCCTAATCTGATGGCGTCTACTTCCAGTGATGATTGGTACTTCCGGCCGACATGTTATTTGAATATGGTTCTTCGTTTTGGAAGAATTGTAAGTGATTTTCCTGTGACAATGTGTGCGTCATGCTTATGATGTCTCTTAAGCCTTGAAGCCACCAGAGCCCGAGTTTCATTTTGAATTTTTGTACATTTGTAAATAAATTGTTATTGTTGTAAAGTATTGTTTTCTTGATTGGCAAAAAAGTTAATTAATTAATCATTACTATATAGACAACTTACATAATCATTTCAATACAAAATGCAGTTTTTATTAGTCACAAAGCAATGCAGTTCCCATCAGCTTAAAATATTGACTCAAATGTTATTCAGTATTCAACTCATTTCACATTAATAATACTTCGTTTAAATATCAGTTGACTTTAGTGTGTGCAAACGTGCGACTATGCCACGACGCTCCAGAATTGATCTTTTCCTCTTTAGGATTCCTTGATGCCTCTCGATAATCGTCTTGATTGTACCAGTCCATGCATGCCAATCAGGGCTAAGACCATATACCTACAATTTAAATCAGCAGAGCAGTATAACTTGTCCAAACACATTAAATTTTAAAATACGTAAGCATCATCAGCTGATCTCGAATAACACAACCTATCTTATCCTAAAACATTTCATACATATAGAACGAGTTTACAACTATTAAAATGGGATGAACGGGTGGGCAAGAATCAGTTTTTACCAGTCAATTTGTTGTATTTTTACCAATTTATCACTGTTTATTCTCTAGATGTATCTGTGTCTGTTCCCTGTTCAGCAACCGGATATAAGAGAAAGCTTGAACCCGATGTTAATAATGGAATCTCTATACCTTATTCATCGAATCCGATTTCTTTTCTCATAAAATAAAGGCATCTATTTTTGATAATCAAATAGATGCTATTATTTATATAGAAAAAATTCAACACCACTAAAGTTAACAATTATTTATTTGTATGTGGCGAATACTGTCGTGGCAATATTCGTGGGTCGTCGAGCAAATCAACACAACATTGGCAGACCCACTTCAGCATCCGTAACAAATCAATCAATCAAATTCAGCAATGATATAAAATGTACCATCCCGGGTAATCCGCGGACAGTTAATTAATCAATCATTACTACATAGACAACTTACATAATCATTTCAATACAAAAGGCAGTTTTTATAAGTCACAAAGCAATGCAGTTCCCATCAGCACAAAATATTGATTCAAATGTTAATCAGTATTCAACTCATTTCACATGAATAATACTTCGTTTAAATATCAGTTGACTTTAGTGTGCGCAAACGCCAAATGGCTGCAAACGAGTAACGTTTGCAGTCACCCCACAAGGCAGCACCAAGTCAACTGACCCACGACAATACTCAAGCCTCCTAGTTATTTCCTTCTGGATAGACTGTACCTAATTTCAGCTGAAAGTATTCCAGAACCCCCTGAATTGTGTTAAGCAATACTGAATCTCCCAGGTCAGAGAGATGAACACCATCTTTCAACAAAAAGAGGGATATATCTCACAGGAGTTCTGGATATTTTATGAAGGAACTCCCCAAACTAAGGACATGTTTAAAAGCGATCGCTCTATTAAAGCGAACTCAGGTTCTTTCCATTGCTTCACCATTTTGAGAGTACATGTACCTCCATTCTAACCTAGGAAGGACCTGAGACCATATGAATTTAGAACTTGGGAAGTGATGTACCAATGCTTTCAAGTCATTTTTTATTTCTTATATTAGTTTACACAGATTTTTATCTTTCCAACCTAAATCATTTCTTCCAAAATGAATCAAAATAAACTGTGGTGGCAATTCTAATCGCTTCAGACAAAACAGTTTCATTTTTAAGTCAGAAATCTTTAATCCAGAGTATCCTTGTCATTATATTCTTTGTCCTATTCTCTCTAGCCCTAGATTTAAGCCTCCTGGTCGATTGCGTGCTGCCACAAATGCCCTCCGTATTATTGAAGAGCCTACATACCAAACTTGATATCTTTCTGTAATACTTAGTAGGATTAAAATAGTGTCGATTCAAATTATAGCGAGGATTAACCCCCTGTATTTCTGTCTCAATATGGCAAAACAAACAAACATTCCATCTTTTTGCAAATCAAAATATACAACATGTACACCTAAAGTTAATGCTTTTCACGGTTTGCACTCAAATAAAGCTTTAGAATAGTTTACCGAATGGGCAGCGGATGTATGACTTGTAGACTTGCGATTTCCATCTACCTGCCTCCCTTATTATCTCAGAAGAACAACCCAATTCATGTGCAGCAGTTGCTGCCCCTATTCGAAAGGAATGAGCTTTAAATTTCCCCCCAACTCCTATAACTTTTAAGGCTTTTTCCAGAATTGCAGTAAACTGATATCTTGTGATAGGCTTTCCTCCAAAATGACAAAACAATGGGCCCCTTGATTTTGGGTCTACCAGCCAAATATTTAGTCATGCATCCCACAGGACATATTGCTGCCCACCCTTTGCATTTGTATTGTCACACCTTTTCCATGTTGGTCAGACTTTGATCGGTGAATATTCAAGAGTAATGTTCTCTGCTCAGGTTCAATTTTGATAGCAGAAACCTGAATAATGCTATGTACATCATTTCCTGTTGACAGAGCTAATTCTCCCACCCGCAGAAACCCAAAAAAAGGCAAGTGTAAATGCAGCACTAAAAAGGTTTGATTCATATGTATTATTATAGCATATTGTGGACACAAGTTGCACAATTTTTGATAATAATGTTGGTGTAATGGGTAATCTTGTGTCAAGAGGGCTCTTAATCCTTTTCATACCTTCTAAAAGCTTTATTAGAATAAATTTTTTGTTTCATCCTGAATATTCTTTAACTTGCACTGAAAGCTGAAAGCAGCAACATATGACCTAGCTGTTGAATATGAATAGCCTGAACATGACAAGAATGCCATAAATTGTACTACATGTATATGATTTAATGGTGGTGGTAAGATTTGTTCATAATTAAAAGAGTAACGAAACTCTTGAAATGATTCTAATCCAGTACTGTACGACAGTTTAGTGTTTGTGGACAAGGATGCTTCCAGTAATTTTTCTACTTCAAGCTGATTTAGGTATACCTCTGAGGCACTGACTGACGGCTGAGCCAAGGGCCTGCTAAAAATGTTTCCAAACTTCCATCAAAGACAATTTGCAAACATAGTTACTGGTGACGAAACATGGGTTCACTATTTCGAACCAGTAAGAAAAGTTGGAAACAAATTATGGCTAACCAAACACGGTAGAAGGTCTGTAGTTGCCAAAAGGACAATGAGCACAAAGAAGGTCATTCGTCTTGCCTGATACAGTCAGAGGTCGACCCGATTTTGCTGCATCTTTGACGGACTCTGCGCCAGTCAGAAATTTCTGTCTCCACCTACGAACTGTCTCATAAGATACCTTATCAGACCCATAAACTTCCCCCAATTCAGTAAAAATCTGCTTTACTGAATTACCGAGTTTTGTGCGAAGCTTTATATAAGCTCTAATTTCTTCAATATTCTGAACCCTTTTCTGAACCATTTTTACAACAGTGGTCAACGACTGGCTCTATTGAAATGACGATTATTTTATAACCATGTGTAGATGAAGGCTCGTGTTTATACAGTTGGCAAGGTATTGAATAGAGTTATCCAGGCGTATAAATATCGACGAAATCGTGCAAGGTGTTATCGCGCTGTGGTACAATACACAATACATATCGAACAACCCTCGTATGTCTATATGATATAGATCAAAGGACGAAGTTTATGTTGCGCAGGGGAAAATTTCTCCTAAGTAATAAATATGTAAAATTCGAAGCCCAAATCCTAACTGTATAAAAGTTTTGGCCAAGTTTTCCAAAAGATACCAGGTAAAACTCTGAGGTCAAATTTGTTAGTCTCAAAATAAAAGACTTTTTCACAAGAAATAATGCAAATGTTTAAAATGGAAGCCCTAGTTTTAAATGTTAAAAAATTCTGGCCAAGTTCTTTCTTTTTGAGAAAAAAAGTCTAGTGCAAAATCTTAAAATATATTTACACTACAAAGATGGATACGCACGTATTTTGAAGCTAAAGCTCTAGCATAAAATATATGATATATAAGCTATAGCCAAGGTTAAATATGATTGTCATTATTATTATAATTTTGCAAAAGCTAGAAAAAACTTGAGATTCAAGACGTCAAAAAGAGTAATACCCAAAGAGAGGTTTTGTCACAAGTAATACAAATTTGAAAAAAATAATATAGGTGTATAAGAGTCATGCACCAAATAATGAAAAGTTATGGACAAGGTTAAAGTTTTCGCCGACAAACAGACGGACGAACAGGGCGAAAATGAAATACCATTTAATCCTTAATTATTAAAATCGAAGTTTTCAAATCAAAGTTTTCAAAGTGTCAAAGTTAAAACAGTAATATGATTAATTATAGTATTTAATGTTGGGTAATGGCTGATCAAAGTAAACTAAAGTTTGTGAAAAACCTGGTAGACAAACGCTTCCGATGATATCATATCCATTACAACAATAACAGAGTTTAACTCCTTCCACATATCTGCATTCTGTTGCACCGAGTGTTCCTCTGCATTGAAGTGAAGAATCACAAGGCTGATATAGTCGTCGATTTTCTTTGAATAATAGATATTGATACTTAAACAATAATGGGGAGTTTACAAGTTGGAACACTTTATATTTAAACCAACAAGGAACACTTTTTTGAAGAATATTATTATCAATTATTTGGACATCTTATTCAAAATACATGTACCATTGAATTGTAAAATATCACTTCACAATAATATCTGATGTCCAACGGGTATGTGCATACACTTACTTTGCAGGCATTTTCCATTGATTTAAATGAATGCTGCATTGCAGGAACAAACACGTCTTGTCGTAAAAACATCATAGACACATTCTGTAATAATCCCTCCTTCCTTGCATTGTCGACTGTCAACACATTCCATGCTAAGCGCTATATCAACTTTAAAAAAATCAGTAAACAAAATGATGGCTCGTTTGAAATAAGGTCTTTGACCGTTGAGTAAACCAATAAGTATATCAAAGTTGACTTCCTCAAAATTATATTTATTTTAAAAATCATTACGAAAAGAATGTTCTTTTTCAAAAGTACTAATTTAAGTTATTTTACACTAAAAAAAAAAACACTTAAACTAGCTTTGAGCAGTAAATCACTTTATATGTTTATTTATTACTCGGACGAAATTTCCAAAGGAAACGCAGTGAACTTAGCAAAGAAATATTCAACATCTACTTGTATTACGCAATTATATTTTTAGTTTTATTTAATTATGTAACATATTCATGTTAAAATAATTATCAGTATCGTATTATGTAGTGTTGGAACAAAATATACAAATGTTTTATAATAGCAAGATGTATTTGTGAACATTAATGCCCCATTATAGCAGCAAATGGCGGAAGTTGAAGTTTCTTAATTTCAAGTTAAACTCTAAGGTAAAAGGATCAAAATCATTGAAGGTTTTTTCACCAGAATACACCTGTGACATAGGACAGTCCTAAACACCTGTGACATAGGACAGTCCTAGTACTAGCTGTTCAAAAGTTATGTCCACAGCTAAAACTTTTTAAACAAAGTGTGTCCAATGTCAAAACATCATATAATTTTACACCTAATAAAAAGTAGTCTCATAATAAAAGGACATTTGATGTATGAAAACTCTAACATAAACCGTTAAAAATATGGCAAAAGCTTAAGGTCATTGGCAAGGAAGGGTTTCCGGAGAAATTAGGTTTTATGCATAGGTTTTTTTCACTTTTGAAAACAGTCATTGAGATTGATCTCCCGTATGGAATTCTCTAGGCGGTGAAAACAAATAAAGCGTATGTTACAAAAGCACGTGTGTTTTTTTTAATCGGATATACTCAACTCTACAGTAATTAAGGAAAAGCAGCGATAGATTTACATTGTGCTGAGGGGGCAGACAGTCAACAGGTCGTCATTAAGAATAGGGTACTTGTATGCTGGAAAGTAAAAGAGCTGAAAATGGTGATTGCTAATTAGACCGGATGAGAACGATTCTATAGTGTGAAGGAGGCACCATTAAAAATTAGTAATAAATCCTTGCCAAGATGTTTTATGACAGTTCGTTTCTAATAAAGTAAATTATAGAATAGAAACAAACAACCAGTCTCTTGATCGTTATGAATAATGATTAGATGTTAAGGGAAGTAACTCAAAATTAAAGAACAGTGCTGGTATTTCTGCATCTTGTTTCAGTATTTTGCATTTTCAGCCAAAGTATATGCATGTCATTGGAAATGAGGATTCAACAATGTATTTTATGTATAAACATTATGAAAAAATGGGTTTTACAGAAAACTTATGGTAAAAAATAATATAATCCCATTTTATCAACATTTTACATAGAAAATGAATTGAGAATTGCAAAAACAATGATTTGACAAAATCTATAAAGGAAGGCTGGCTTGATGGGTAAAATAGGCCTGAATTAAACATGTTTGGTACATGTACCATTAAACCTGTTCAGAAATTCTTGAAAAATTCTATACGAAATTCAGAAACGTTGCCAATGTCCTTAAGATGTGGTAATTTTTTGCTTAAGTTGATCAACTCCAAGGTTAAGGTTAGGATGTCAAATTTGAAAGCATCCACAGAAAGGTCTTGTCGAAAGTAATAAATACACCTGCGAAATATGAAGTCATACCCCCACCAAGTCAAAGGCGATTTTAGAGTTCTGGTGAACTAAGCAATAAACAGAAAAAAGACAAAGAGGCGGATAGATAGACGGACAGGACAAAAACTGCATAATCCCCAAACTTTGAATACGGGAGCATAAAAAATAATTGCACCTTTTATACAATCTCCATTTACAAACTCGAATCCTTTCTTGCAAAGACACAAAAACTTTCTTCTTTCAGTTTGCGTACAAATGGTATTCTTATAGCATTGTGAATGCATGCCACAGGATTCATTATATTTCCGATTAGCTTCAAATAGAAAATATCGTCAGCAATTTAATTTCAGATTAATATTCGGAATTTTTTAAACGGAATATAAGTTACGTCCGAGGGATTAAACCTTACTCAAATGCAAATAAAAATCTTTACTACAAGCAGTGATGAAGAAATACAATATGGCAGTGTTTTTTCCTTATTTTTATTATTTTCATTTTTTTGACATTTTTGAAATAGTAGTTTTGTGAATAAGAATTATTCTTAAATAGCAAATTATTTTCAATAAATGAATCAAAAAATCTACATCAAAGTAAAATATTATTTTTAAACATTTATTGGGATGTAAATTTGGGATGGTAAACTAACAAATCTTAAAATCTTCGTTCTTATAGAAAATGAATTTATGAACAATCCGCACTTATGTCCCGATAAATGTAAAGAATTGTACTGATTCTCAAAATTTAATAACAATGGAACTTTGAATTAATAGAAATTTTTAATATAGATTTAATCTTACGAAACCAGATTGACTCTTGAAAATCGCTGTAATGCTGACAAAGTTCAAGATCACCGTCACACCCTCTCCCATTCTGGCATGTTTTTGCAACATTATCTAAAATTTATTTTAGGACATTAAAATGAGAAGAAAAAAAAATCAAAACCAGCGTTAAAAAACTAATCTGTTATCAATTCAATGTGGCATTTATTTGATACGGTAAACAATTTTCCAAAACCGTTTTCATGTTAATCCTTTGCAATATATAGTAGATAAAAATACATATATGGGGAAATGTACAATTAAATACCTTTTCGTTGAAAAAACGTCAGAAAAAGATTTACATTTTGAAAATCTTTTTCAAGATTGCAGTGAAACGGATTTAATCTGAACTTGTATTGAACTTCGTATTCGTTGACTTCTACATGTACATCTCTGATTCTCAATACAGAATTATCTTCTGACAGATCGTCATTGAGGAACAATAGGCACGTGTAATCTGATACTGATTCGTCTTGATCGTGAACTTCTACAAAAAAAATCACAATCATCCACAAACATGTATGAACATATATATCAAAATTAAAATCTCTTACAAAATGAAACCATTAACTATATACTGCATTTTAAAACAATATTTACAAGAGTTATTAATGGGACATTCACTAGGAAGGGGTGCATATATTGAATATGATTTAAAAGAGAGCTAAATCCATACCTCTTTTGAGTACGGACAAAAATTTTTGAGAAGGAACACCACAACTTTGATTCCCTTTGACGAATGACAGGGCATTCCGGTATGGAAATTCCCTGTAAAATTATTGAGCAATGATGCATTTCCGCAAAACAGTGTAGTCATGAATGTCTAATTGGAAATGTCTTAATACTTTGTACACAATTAAGCTCATATATACATAAGTGATTTGAATAATTTTAATAAATGATATAAAAATCATATTTTACCCCATATAATGTAAAGAGCTTGATTGGTCTTTTAGTTCTATCAAGCCAATATTTAGGAGACAGGAAACTAAAAAAAATATGAATACAATTACTGAAGGAAAATGTTAGCATACATGTAAGTGCGAGAACAGTCGAAAAGTTGTTATGATTTAAACAAATAGGAAATACGTTCCTGACTTTTGAAAAATAGTTACATTTAAAACCTATGATATCTTTATAATTTAAATCATAATTTGACATTTTCAAAAAATAAAAGGAAAACTGAAAAAAATTGTGTGCAATATTTATTTAAAATTTAAAGCTTTTGTTATTTCATCGTCTCTCGGAGAATTTTTAGGTCAGATTGAGCCATTGAACCCGCAGCGTAGCGATCAATTTCAAATATGGGTTCGAAAACCGGTGTAAAGACGAAAAATGACTCCTTCAGAATAATGACCGGGGGTCATTTTTCAACGGCGAAAAATGACTCTCGGTCATTATTTTACTGCAAATAATGACACCTGGTCATTATTCGACGTCGAAAAATGACCTTTTTGCACGTAGAAAGTGTCATAACCCTGTAAATTTGCATACTCCGCGTGAAGAAAAATGACCTCCGTAAAATAATGACCCCCTGTGGATTAAAGTTAAATTTTTTAGGGGGCAAAAAAAAAATAATAAAATAAAAAGACTTATTGGCCAAAATGCTCACCTGAGCTACATCAGGAATATATTGATGTTATGTTGATCTCATTAAATCATTCAATTATTGCTATTTTAAGGTCAATGCACTGATTCAGTAAAGGAGTAACAGATTTATCGAACCCAAAGGGCTCGGTGAACATTGTTTTTCGATGATGGAGAATCATGTACTGACAGAACAATGTAGCAATATTATATATTACTTATATTATACCCCCGCTCGTAAAGCGGATGTTATATAGTGATCGGGATGTCCGTCCGTCTGTTGCGCTTACCCATTTCTTATCCACAACTCCTTTTAAACCGCTGAATGAAATTCAATGAGACTTTCGCAGAATCTTTGTTGCATAATGTCAATGTGCACCTCCTACTTTACTTTTTGATCGGACACAATTTTAAATGCATAAAATGTAATAAAACTTTTACAGATTCACATATTCTTTATTTCATAATGCCATTGTGCATCTCCCATTTTACTGTATGATCTGTATGATCTGACGCTCATTTTGTGTTCCTCAGAACAAAGCATGAACTTTGCCGTTATAATTAAATTGGAGGCGGGGGTTGCGGGGTGTCTTTTACTGAGCTTATAGCTCACAGTACATCTAATTTAAATGTAAATCTTGTTTTATTCAACCCTTTTACGCTGTTCTATGTATGTTTTAGAGTGTTTAATATGAAATTCAGAACATTTAATTTCATTTTTGTAATGTTTTCTTCATAATAAAGTAAAATATGAAAAATTAGTTGAAGACAATTCAATTTTCTTATACATGTATATACTTCCCATACTTCGCGCATGTACCCGTGCTAAACAAACCATAGATAGTTAAAACTAGAGGTACTGTAAGCTATGAGCTCACTAGATGATAACCCCAACCCCCGGCCTCCCATATGGTTATTATGGCAAAATTTATGTTTTGCTCTCGTAGACCCAAAATAAGTGTCACATCAAGAAGTTTTGGTTGTGTTAGAGTGTGCACATGGGGAATTGAGGCTTTATTTTTTCATTGCTTTGATGGAATAATTCGTTTTTGATAACAAACATAAAAGTCATGAATAAAAGTTTTTAATCTGCTTTATATTTTTCCTGAATGGTTCTTATCAGGTTTTAATTTGTTTTTTACTTCTCCTCAGATATTCTTTCACTTATGATTTTATAAAAAGTTGTTTGCACGAACTGCTCCCCAAAATGAACATGCATAAGACATGGAATCAAAACGTTTTGAATTACCGGATATGAATAATAGTCCCTAAAATAACTAATAACTGAATTGTACAAGCTTTTAAGAAAAAATGGCTTTAGTAAATATTGTTTTGAAAGCATTAATTATTGTAGTTGCAAATGACACATCGATTTTTTAAAAATCCTATTTTGATAAAACATTGGAATTATCACATGATATGACAAAGATCAATGGCAAAGATACAAGACAACAGCATGTTGCGCGTCCTTTTTTATCAGTATTCTAAATAAGGCATTTTTGATACTTGTGGCATTTGTTTTTGATTCAATAATTCTATGATGATACTACCCTATTTTTTTCATCCTTGCAAGCTATGGGTTTTGAGTCGACACGTTGCCGGTGGACCAAAGACAACGTGTTGACTCGGAAACTCTGGCTTGCGAGAATGCCCTTTCTTATATACATATATTATATATTTATTTACTTCGTTTTGATAGAAAGGAAACGTTATTTCGGCTTTTTGAAGTCCCGGTTTTTCAAGTAAAACTTTAGAAAGGAAACGAGGCTTTGACTTGTAAATTTTAAGGAGAATCAAGATTTTTACACAATTAGTTCCCATGTTAATTTCTATCCTTACTGTATTTCCAACTGTTGGGCTTAAAGTTAAAAGCTTTAATTCAGCCTGCGTCAACTGGAAACAATTGTAAATCAAATTTGCTTTAAAGCCTGCTGTTCAGGATAAGATTTAGAAATACTGTTTCACATTATACCAATGTAAAACTTTGATCAGTATTTGACATACCGTCACGGTAGCTCAATCGATAGAGTGCTTGCTTTGTGACTGGGAAGTCGAGTGTTCGAAATACTGCTGCGATTGACCCAAGTCGATAAAAATAGGTAGCATCTGTTCCTTTCTTTGCCAACGCTCGACTCTTTGAAGTGAAAGTTGCGATTCATTCAGATGAGACCTTAAAAACCAAGACCCGTGTCACGGTATGCGTTGGTGTGGTTAAGAACCCTCTCTTTTAAATAGCCCTAAGTGCCGGTGAAAAGACAAATAATGACCCCCATCGAAAAATGACCGGGGGTCATTTTTCAACGACAAAAAATGACCCCCTACCCGTAGAAAAAAATCATTTGTTGTAGAAAAAGTGTCCTAGGGGTCATTATTTTATATGTTAGTCCTATAAAAAATTGACCCCCCATTGAAAAATGACCCCCTTTAAAGTGAAAAGAGATTCTTTAATTGTCAATTAAATAAAATTTCTTTTTAACATTCCTCCTTATAGTGTTTGCTTAAAGAATGATATTCCACTTGTTTTTAGAAATCAAACCATGCAACAATCAGATTCCAATACTCTTTAATAGAAAAATTAATTTTTCCTTCATTTCAACTTTTATAGCTTGTATAAGTTTGGCAAATCCTATTTGACAATGAAATAGGTGGAAATTTTTACCCCCCCCCCCCCCCCCCAAAAAAAAATTAGGTTAAATCAAAACAAAAAAAAATGAAAGGGAAAAATATAAATAAAACTATATACCTTTCAATAATACTAAAAGAGGCTCTAGATGAAATATAGAAATGAAGCTAAGCCTTCACACAAGTTCAATCATATCATAATTTACTTCGCCATAATTAAAGCATACTTTAAATATTTGAAAGTATTGTGGCAGAGTAACAGTTGAAAATTAGTAGAATAGTAGATTATTTTAAGCTTATATTTAGTGCCTCCTTATAGAAAAATAAAGGTAGGTAGTTTTTTGTTGTTGTTGTTGTTGTTGCTTTTGTTGATAATCAACTTCCTCCTAAATAAGTAAAGGGGTGGGTATAACACCTAAAAGTATGCTCTGTAAAGCTATGGGCTAGTGTAAAACACACATTCTAATGCAAAAACTATACATGTAGACATAACCTTTTAATATACCACACAGTATTCAATACATTTCTTAATTCTTGTTTTACTCCACGATTTTACCCAGTCCTGAGTATATTTTTCGGAGAATTTGATATGAAAATCAGAACAAACATTTTCATTTTTGTCACGTCTTCTTTATACTGTATCATTATAAGAAAAGTTCATGGAAGACCATTTCTTTTTATGTCCCTGTAATCGAAGATTCGGGGGTATATAGTTTTATCGTGTCCGTCTATATGTCTGTATGTCTATCTGGCGGTCTGTTTCTCCGCAAAAACTTTAACCTTTACCATAACTTTTCATTTATTGTAGCTATGTCTTTCGTATTCAATTTTTGTACATTCCTTGTGACAAGACCTTACTTTGGGTGCCATCAAATTTGACCTTTTGACCTTTACCTAGGAGTTTATCCCATTTTACACAAAAATGCCAAATTTTTAATTAATTTACTTTGGCTATAACTTTTAAACGGTAGAACTAGTACTCTCATACTTACAAATGTAATCTTTGTTACATTAAGCCTTTATTAAGAAACCATCAACTTTGACCCTTTGACCTTTGAGTTTGACCTACTTTCAAATACTTATCCTTATAGCCATTAATTTGAACAATTGGTGCTATGGCTTTCCTATTTTGCAATTTTATTTCTTGAGAGAAGACCCTACTTTGGGTACCATTATATTTAAATTGCCTTTAAGAAAAGTTTAATCTTCGCTATGTTGCCATACAGGGGCATAGCTGTTTTACAAATACATATTTTTATATATGAGAGGAGTTGCGGATAACGGACAGATACCCCAAAGCGTAACAGATGAACGGACATCCCAATCACTATATATCCTCCCGCTTTTCAAGCGGAGAATAAAATAATATATGATACTGATGATTTTTTTCTGTCAGTACGATGATTCCCACCATCGAAAAACAATGTTTACCTAACCCTTTAGGCTCGATAAATCTTTACTCCTTTAGATTCTGAATCATCGCATTGACCTTAAAACATAGCTATAATCGTATGTTATGAGATCAACATATCATCAATTTATTCCAAATAAGCTCAGGTGAGCATTTTGGCCAATATGCTTCTTTATCTAATTTTTTTTTCTGCCCCTAAAAAATTTCAGTTTTAATCAACAGGGAGTCATTTTCTACGGGGGTCATTTTTCTTCACGTGGGTTCTGCAAATTTTTAGGGTGGTGACACTTTTTCTACGGGCAAAAGGGTCATTTTTCTACGTCGAATAATTACCGGTGGTCATTTTTCGCTGTCGAAAAATGAGATCCGGTCATTATTCGATGGGGGTCATTATTCGTCTTTACACCGGGTCAAGTTCTGAATCTGAAGACATTCAATCAATCTTCTGTTACCCACTCTGCATTATGAGGCAATATTTTAAGAAAGAATAGAGTTTATATAATTACTTGAATCTTTCACATAGTTAGGTTTACAAATTCTCAAAGTTCTTTGCAAGTGCAAAAGGGCAATTAAATACACAGGGAGAAAATTGCTTTTTACAATATATCATGTGCTAAAACATTTTTTGGGATATGTAGGAATCTATATATGATCAAAACATTTCCGTCAACACATGTTTATTTGCAATTAAATATTTTGTCAAATGCATGAGAAAAATATACTGTGCATACACGTTAATAGACTCATTTGCAGAATTTTGAAATTTGGTAAATTTTTATTGCTAAATATATCCTACAACTGTAACTTACAGGGAAGCGTAAAACCTTTGTAGAACAATAAAAATACTTACAATACAGACATTCTATGCATCTCTGTTCCAGTCCCATCTTTTATTTTTACCAGCTTAAATCAAACCGGCTATCTTTTCTTTCCTGTTGAATTGTTTTATTTCCACGTAAAGACGATATATTCTTCCTTACCATGCTATATTCTCTGCAACGAAAAAAATATTTTTGTACATTTATCCCTTACTACAATGCTACAACTCAATCAATTCGTTGTACTTGATGTTTTCATCAAATTTTGTTCCTGTTTGTATTTAAATATGTTTGCGTAAGCATAACTAATTACTAATTGTATCATACGTTCAATTATTTGCAATTTTAGTAATTTTAATAGTTTTTAAATAATGCATTAAAACAATTTTCATTGTCATAGTGCATTAAATAGTGTGATCTAACACATGGTGTCATTGATTCATTAAGTGATTTAAAGACCAGAGCTCTTTTGTCAACTCTTCATAAAACATCACCATTATCAGTGTATATTATAACGATTAAGTTTTGATATAACTGTCTTGACATTTAACCTACACTTTATGTGTACATTATTTTTAATTTCCAAATAATTTAAAAAAAAAACCTTACAAATTTACAAGCAAGTGGTGAACCAATATTTGTAATATGCCTGGGATACATAGGACAAGGAAAAATATAAATGCTCCTTAAAAACATAGGAAATGATCAAGAGCGAAAGTATTCCGTGTAATGTAATCCAGGGTTAACTTCTCATAATTTTTCAAAATATCTATAGATAGACTGTTTAGTATTCTTGAATATAATGAACATGTATAAGTAGAGAACAAATTATTCCG